ACCATTAAGACGGTACTGTCTGTTTTCCTTTATTAAATCAAAGTGAAATTCACATAATGTAGAATTAACCCATTTTGAAACTAGCAATTTGATGGCTTGCAGTACGTTCCGCAACGTTGTGCAGGTCTCTCTAGTTACAAAACATTTTCATGACCCCAAAAGAAAAACCCAGAGCCTTTAAGCTCCGGTAAGATTCCTGAGTGTGGCTCTTTCTTTTCTGTGACTCCAGGCCAGGTGACCTGGGGAAGGGGGCGGAAGCGCTGGAGGACCTGCCGCTGAGCAAGCCGGAGATGTTTGAGAACCCACTGTATGGGTCCGTGAGCTCCTTCCCCAAGCCAGCTCCCAGGAAGGAGCAGGAATCGCCCAAAACGCTGCGGAAGGAGCCCCCGCCCTGCCCGGAGCCGGGGATCTTGACGCCTGGCATCACGCTCATCAAAGCCCAGGAGGCTGACCGCAGCGAGGGGACCGGCAAGCAGGTCCCCGCCCCTCGGTTGCGCTCCTTCACCTGCTCGTCCTCCGCAGCGGAGGGCAGGGCGGCTGCCGGGGACAAGAGCCAAGGGAAGCCCAAGGCCTCGGCGAGCTCCCTGGCCCCCGTGCCTGCCAAGAGACCCATCAAGCCTTCCAGGTCGGACATGAGCCCGCAGACACTGCCGGCCCCCTCGCCACGGCCACCCCTGCCCAGCAAAAGCCCGGCAGTCCTTCACCTGCAGCACTCCAAGGGCCGCGACTACCGCGACAGCAGTGAGCTCCCGCACCATGGCAAGCACCGCCCAGAGGAGGGGTCGCTCAGCAGGACAGCTGCACAGGTGTGTGCTCAGCTGAGCATGGGCTTGGGTGCGTGTGTGTACATGTGTGCGCGCACGTGGGTGTGTGATCGTCCTAGGAGCTGCTCCATGAGGAAGGACTAGAATCAGGTTTTGAACCCAAGCCTCTCTGTTCCCCGTACTCCTGGCCCCACATTGCCTCTGCAGTACTTAAAAGGGATACCCGTGCCCTGTGCTGGACCCAGAGGAGTAAGTCTCCGTGAAGAGAAGGAGCCTAGGTCATTTATAGTCCCTCATTGGTGTCATTAGGGTTAGTACTTAAATTTCCCTGGTATTTTAGAGACTTCAGAGGCAACATCCCCTTCCTTTCTGCAAAATAAATTTCTTTTTATAGGAAATGAGTGAGCGAATGAATATAGCTCAATGAATAGCGATTAGGAACAGACTCTGGAGCCAGTCTGTGCTGAATTTAAATCCTATTCAATCCTAGCTCTCCCCCTTCTGGCTCTGTACTGTGGGCCTCAGTTTACTCATCTGTAAAAGGGGGCTGTTAGGCTCGGTGCCTATAGCTCAGTGGTTAGGGTGCCAGCCACATTCACTGAGGCTGGCGAGTTTGACCCCTGCCCAGGCCTACTAAACAACAATGACAACAACAACAACAACAAAATAGCCCGGTGTGTGGAGGGTGTCTGTAGTCCCAGTTACTTGGGAGGCTGAGGCAAGAGAAGCACTTAAGCCTGAGAGTTTGAGGCTGCTGTGAACTGTGAGGCCAGAGCACTCTACCGAGGGCAGCATAGTAAAACGCTGTCTAAAAAAGGGGGGAGACTATTAGTAGCACCTGCTTCATAAATGTATAGCGAGAATTACATTTTATCATAGACTATTACATATTATTACTATACATTGTAATTTGTATATAAGTTAAATACACACAATATTTTTTTTTTTTTTTTTTT